AATCCTATGCCACCCTTGTTACAGCCCTGCCACCCCCTCCTCCCATTCTGTGCCCAACAAAGCTTGGAGTTGTTGAGGTCTTTTTCATACCAAGGTGTGAGGTCCCTCTCCCAGCTCCTTGTGGCCACAGCTGCCCCACACCCCCCTTCCCTTGTGGCTCCCACCTTGGCCTGCTCTGTTCACTTGGCATGTAGTGTTGCAGTGAAAATCCAGGCAGCCATCTCTTGTGGTGGGGTTCTGTTCTCACTCCCCTTTTATAAATGAGGGAACACTTAGAGGTTAGGGGACAAACCCAGGTCATACAGCCAGGAGCATGCCACTGGGGGCTTTAACCCAGATTAGGGTTTTCATCTCCACAAGCCTCCTGGAGGCTCCTGGGCCTCCGTGGCCTATCCCGGCCCCTCTACTCACCATGGGCCCCAACCAGCCCGTGATCTCCAAACAGGAGCAGGGATTTCCTCTCACTGATGGACCCATTTGCTCTTGGAGTCACCAAACATCCACCACCTGCAGCTTGGAGCCTGGGCATACGGCCTGGGTGCGTGTAGGTGTGTGGGGGAAGGGAAGCCTCGCCTTGGTCAGAGACCCCAGTTCATTCACAGGGAGCTTGGAGTTAAGGCTGCCCACTCACCCTCCAGCTTGCGAACCGTGAGTCTTTCTTTCTGCACCTGTCAGCTCCTGTGATGAGGAGTATGTGGCCCAGGGACCAATCTGGGCGTGGTGATGTGGCATGTGTGTGGCGGATGGGAGTGGGGCAATGTCAGGCCACCCCCCAGCCTAGCCAGTTGGACCAAGGAGACATCTGGTGGCTATGAGGAGATCTGCAGCCTTGCTGCAGGGAGCCCTGGGTGAAGGTATCGGGATCTGTCAAGTCCCTTGGGAGCCCCCAGGGGCCCAGAAGGACATCGTCACCCTTGGGGTAGAGCTCACGGTTGCTCCTAGGACTCAGGGCCTGGGACTCGGTGGGAGAAGAGCCTGTGCTCATGTATCCTTCCCAGCCCCAAAGCTGGGGGAGAGCTGACCTGGAGAGTGCTGGACAGGGAGGATGGCAAGCAGGAGGACCCATCCATCATTGTTGGTGAACAATGAGCCGTCACCACCCTAATTAAAGATGTAATTACAGCAAATACATTCTGGGCTTCGAATGAGTGACGGATGGCAGGAAGGCACCTTGTGGCCCACAGCCAGGAGACACTGCTTCCCTAACGCTCCCCTCTCCAAGCTGGGGAAACCATCCCTCAGCATCCCTCCAAGCAGGTTACAAGGTGCCCTGGTGCCTCCAGAGAGGAAGGACCGAGCTTGGAGCTGGGAGCTGGTCAGGGGCTGGGGTCTGGGGCCTGGCTGGAGAAATGAGAGTGGGAAGGAGGCCGTGCAGCTGGGGTGACAGGGCCTGGGCTGATGCCTGGGTCTCAGCCAAGAAGAAGTGGGTGTTTCTGTGTGAGCATAAGAGAGCACTAGGTAGGATTTCAAGGCACTCATGCTCAGGGGTAACCCGGCCCTTGCCAAGGCCCAGGGTGGGTGTGTCCAAGAGCCAGGCCTAGAGGACTCAGCCTGCAGACCAGTAACCATAGCAAGGCTCTGGTGCGCCATGCTGGCTTTTCGTTCTGGCCTAGGCTTCAGGGAATCTCCTGAGGGCTGATTTGTCCTTAGCTGGGGGTCAGGATACAGGGCAAGGGTCTGGCCACCTGGAGGGAGAAGAGATGGGCTCTTGTGGCCGACCGGACTTCTGCTGCTCTCCCCTTCAGCAGGGCAGGCCTCCAGCCACCCCTCGCTCCACAGCTCCAGCCTGGAACCACATCTAAAGTTGCAGGCACTGGTTGTCCCTAGGAAGCCTGGGGCTCGGGACACCTCTTCCTCTCCTGAGGATCCCAAGGCCTGTTTGCCCTGGGGCCCCCACCCCCACTTACCCTCAGGGGCCAGGAAACCCTGAGCACAGGGTCACTTCACTCTGAGGCCAGCCTGCACTGTGACCACTCCAGGTACAAGGCATGAAAACCTGCCCATTGGGAGCTTGGTGGCCTCAGCCTCTTAGCCCTACCTGCTGTGGTGCCCCTGGCCAGGTCCTTCGGGGTTTGTGGTCCAACCTCATCGGGGAGAGGGATGGGTGGGGAATGGTGGGAGCCCAGGCAGGGAGGCAGAGGGGTGGGAGGAAGGCCCCTGACAGCAGGACAAATGCTTGTAATTTTATAACCAATCGCAGTGTGTCCATGGGGGGCCATTTGTGCCTCCACTCAGGACCAATCAGCCTGACAGAGCTATGAGTCCGCCTGAGTGAATGTGAGCAGCTCCCCCCACTACTTACTGCAATCTCATTACCCAGCCAACCCAAAACTGGACAGAGCTGTGGGGCTGCAGGGAAGGGGGAGCCACCCAAGCAGAGCAGAGCCAGGCCAGAGCCAGGGTGGGCCTGGAGCCAAGAGGGCAAGGTGGGTGGGCCTTGGAGACCCAGCAGCTCAGAGGAAGGGATAGGAAGGAGTCGGAGTCTCAGGAAACAACAAACAGTAAACACTGACTGGGTGCAGAGCATTTAGGATCCAGAGAGGGCCTAAGCCCCTGCCCTCAAGGGGCTTGCAATCTCCTCAGGGCAGATGGAAGATTACAGATAGATGGGCCCTGGGGAAAGGGGGGCTGAAGATGGAAGTGTTCAAAGTACAAAAAGGAGGCTGAAGGCAATGAGAGGGGCAGAGTTCTAGAGCCAGGCTGGCACTGGGCAAGGGGCTGGAAGGCAAGAGTAGGTGAGAGAGGGAAGAGGAACCAGAGACAGCTCGGGAGTGCATGCAGAGCCGGGGCAGAGAGAGAAATGCCCACCCACGGGAGGGAGAAGAGGGCGGCCAGGGGAGGGTTGGGCTGGCCGGTGGTGGATATTAAAGAATGGCCTTGCTGGATCTGGATATCTGGCTCTGGGGATGGCTATGTGCCCATTAGTCTCTCTAATTGTCAAAAATCTAATTTAGTGTCTGGAGCCTGGGCCGGCCTCGGGTTAAGTGGAGGGAGGCAGGCCTAGTCATAAATCTGCCCTCACAGCCCGGGATGGTGCTAATTCTGCAGTTAACTGAGGGGTGAGGTGGGCACAAGATGGGAGAGGCAGGGCTCTGGAGAGGGGGTGTCCCTGCATGCCAGCCCCCATGTGCTAGGTCATGGCCAGGCTCTCCTGTCTTGCAGGGGGATCATCAGACCGTCCAGGGGAAGTGCCTCACATTCGACGTGAGCTCAGGGCCAGGAGTCTCTCAAGGGTCTGCATGGCTGGGACTGTAAAACTGTCAGCCCCTCTCCTCCTGGACCCATTCAGGGTCTACGTGGGCTGTGCTCTTGGAAAACGAGCAGGGACTGTCCCTCACGGGTGGGAAGGGCACATTTCCTCCATGAAATCGTGAGTGTTGAGGAAAGGGGCATGGGGATTCACACTATGTGAACAAGTGACTGGTCATCCAGTGACTGCTAGCGATGGCCCCGATGATGAGGACCAGGTGACATTCACCTGAGCTGCTTGGGGAGTCACGCTCCATTCCTTAGTGGGGACAGCACACTCCCCATTGGGCTGCTCAGCTTCTCCTTCCCTGGGCCCAGGCTCACGAGGTGCTTGGGGGCCTGGCCAGTCCCTGAGGATCGCACGCAGCCTGAGGTGGTGCTGGTGATGGTGGGTGCTCCAGCCCGGGTTTGGTAATGACCTTGCTCCCCTCAGAGTTGCTAATTGAAAGCAAGGGGTGTAGTAGGCGCAGCAGGAGAGGGTGGGGACGGAGAGGGTTCCCTGAGAGGCTGTTTCCATGGGGGGAGGAAAACAATTTCTCCTGGCTTCAGCTCCGTCTCACCAGGCACACACTTGGCCTCTCCTGCTGCTAACGAAGTGCCTTTAATTAGCAGCCTAATAAAATGCTCTTAATTGGCAAGAGCCAATCAGAAGAAGAGAGGTCTCCTCCCTTTAGTCACTGCTGATGGTGGCACAGCTCTAGGTTAAAAGCGGGGAGGGATTCCTGGCCCCGCCGGGCAGTAGGAAACCACGGCTATAGGGCTGAGTCTTTGCAGGGCAGGCCCTAGACCCCACCCTCCCTGGGGAAGAGATCTGACATGGTGTGAGGGTGAGGTCCACAAATCCTTAGGCTCAGCCTCTGCTCAGGAGCCCAGCTGATGAGGAACATTAACTGAGCAGATACCAGTGGCCCCAGAGTGGTTCCTCTAACGCCTCCCTCCCTTCCTTCTCTCTCTTGGGTGCTGCCTGCCCTTAGTTGTTAGGGAGGATTCTTCAGTGTAGTTTTGGGCAATGTGGGTCCCTTTTCTTGCTCCTCAGTTTCCTCATCTGCCAAGGGTTGTCAGTCCAGACAAGACAATGAGACTACAAGGCTGATGGAGGCCAGGGAGCCTTGGTCATGTGGAAGGGTTACTAATACAAAAAGCTCATAGATCTAAAAGAAGGATGGGTCAATTTTGACAAGGATCCTGTTTGTGACACTAGAGAGGGGAGGGGAACAGGGCCAATGGTGAGAGAGAGTCCCATTCGGCCACTGCCTGCAACCTTGTACCTCTCTAAGGTTTGGATGAAGGAGGGAATGGGGATTTCACTCAGGAACTGCAATGTCATACCCCAGATAGTCAAGGGTGCCTTCATTCTTACAGCTTGTTAGAGTCCTTCTGGAAACTGCTCCCAGATGTGAGCCTGCTTGCCTATAAACCGATCAAATGGGATGTAGGGGAAACTCAAGTCTTTTCACCACTGAGGGGCTGAGAAAAATGTAAATTCTGCATTCAGGTTGGGCTGTGGTTGGCTAAGGTGACCAATTCACAAATGAGACATGACTTTGGCTTCAATTTAACTCAACATGGAACAGTAGGTGTATGCTGGCACCCCACACTCACCCACAGCGTCCAGTCCTGCTTTCTCTCATCTTGTTTTCTCACGTCAGATTATCTGCAAAGGTATCCTATCTGTGCACTCCCTCAGTCTGTATACTGAAAAGTGTATTGTCCTTTTTGATGTTGGGGCAAGGAGACAAGACAATTAGAAAATTCGCTTTAATCTTATATTTGTAATTTAAGTTACTTTTTTTCTGAACAGTTAAAAAAAACCAAAACACACTCTATTACCATGATCCTAGGTTGTGAACATATTGGTACATTGACTACACATCACCATAACATAATCACAAAAGTCAAAGCAGTCAGTACTTAAGAGTCTAGAGAACAAAGAGCTGAACCAGTTGAAAGCTTTCGGGGAAGCTCACATGTGTTGCTAGGCCTGTCCCATCGCTGGAGTGCACTGGCCATCCCTCAGATCTGTCTGGGCCGGCCTGAGTGGTCACCGCTTTGAGAAAGCTGTTAGTTTCCTTGGTGCCCAGAGGGCTAACATCCTAGTTGGCCTTTTCCTTCAGTGTCCAAGAAGGGGAAGGGTTAGGAGAGGAGGTAACACTTTTAAAACACTTACTGCACTGATCCTTAATAAAACACACACACATCCAATCAGGAGCTAAGTGCGCCAGCTGTGCTGGTTGGAAAGCACATATTTTCAATGTCATCTGCCTCCAGGACATTTTAGATCATAGCTACTCTACTTCCAACAGAAGGGGTTTCTAAAGATCAATGCATTAAGTTCCACCTGAAACCAGGCAGCCATCATCATGCTCTTTTGATTTATCTCTTCAGCTCAAAGGATTCTGACACCACAGATGAGCTACAGGTAAAGAAGTGAAACTCAGTTTTATTCCCCTAAGAGATGGCTCTCTTTCCAACACTATGTTGACACTGTGGTTAAAGGAGGTCTGGTCTGTTGGTGATCAGCTGTGTGGAGGAAGACCAGGGAGGCTGTACCCCAAGTCTCAGGGCTGCACTAATCTGGGTTGGACTGCTCTGCTTCAGGCTGGAGGGTGTTGCCATCTAAGGCAAAAGGGAGATGCTGAGAAGGTTAACAGTACCAAGGTATCTAATCCAATTATAGGAAAGAAAAAAAATTGCCCTGATTATTTCCAGTATTCCCCACCCCTCCCACCTTTTTTCCCCCACACAATCAAGTGCTAAGTAAGGAGTAGACCAACTACAGCTGTTTAGACCAATGGTACCAGCAGCCAGCAAGGGAAGAGTGCATTTTTTTCCTCTGTAGCTTTAGACTGCACAGAAGAAAAATAAAAAAGGATTGTTCTTACTCAAGCAGAAAAACAAGAATGATGTAGGGGTCTCAGTCTTTTCTAGTTCAGAAACAAGTTATGAGGGCCAGACTTTATTACCTGTCAATAGAGATCCAAAAGAGTCCCTGTCTCTGAACTTAGGAGACACCAGAAAGAATTTGCCAAGGGACATGTACAAACGGCCTTCCATCCATGATTCACATCCTTTCAAATTGCACACAAAGTTAAAGGATGTTCTCAGCAGTGAAATACACACACGTGCAGCAAGGCATGTTGGTCTTGTCCAAGTAGCCCCAGTGTGCACCAAAAGGTCACGTGTCTGCGCCTCTTCCTCTGCCTTCGAACGGGTTTCAGCCTGTCTTTAAAAAAGGTTTCCTTTAGGCCCTACGTTGGAAAATAAATTTTAGTGAGAAGAGACTAATCTACCATGAGGACACCTTCAGCTCTGTTTCTATCACTCCTTGGAATGTGCTGAGACTTTGTCTCTCTTTTTGTTTTAAAAAGGTCAAACTTTACATTTATTCTAGCCCAGCTGGGGATTAGTGATAATCAATTCCCACTGAAATCATGCAGAGATGGTAAGTGGGGTTTACCTTCTCTGGAAATGAACTTTTACTTACCTGATTATTTCTTCTACAATGAACTGGTAAATGACCCCCAGGGCTGAGAAATGTGAACGATTCAAGTTTTTCAGACCACTTAACTTCATTCCCATTTCCATCAGCAGCAGAGAGGACAACTTGGAGAATATCCTGAACTGGGGGAATGGCTCCACATCTGTAGGATTCGACCTGATCTCCTTTGTGATGTACTGGACATGTTTCAAAACAGTCTTAGAAACAATATTCCTTCAACTGAACCTAGATTGGAGAGCAAAACCCTGGGCACCAATAAACATTCAACAGCTTCCACTTTGTAATAGCAGCATATGACAGAAGGGCTGGTAAAATTATGGCTATTGGACAATATTTTGAGACAGCTTGAAACCCATGCCTTTTTAATGTCTGACCTGTGTGTTTTTCAGGGCTGACAGCCCTCTATCTTCATCTATAGCAAAATCCTTACCCAATCAAAAAGCCATTAATAGTCAACACAATAGATGACGAACCCTGATAGTGGCCAAGTAGAAAACATTTCTCTGTAGCATTTGGGTAGCTGGGAAGGGAATTACATTGAGAAAATATTTCCTAGGCTACGATGTATCATTACACTGGAAATATTTTCTGAATATAACCTTGAACTAAAAGCTTAAAAATACTCATAAAGCAGGAAAGGTAGAGTGCATATGCATAAACTGACTCTCAAATATGTAGTCACAACATCCAGTCTGGGTACACCTTGGGAAGAGGATACCTTCTTGCCTGGGGAGACCAGCTGGGTGCACATTAATAGTATTCTGTGTGCTCCCAGGTTGGTGTGGCACAGGTGCCCTTGCACCTGAAGCCCACTAGCTTTGGCAGCTCACACAGCTGCCTTCCGAGTGGCTAGGTTTACCTGACCCTTGCCGAGGTCCAGCCATTTATGCTGTTTGCCAATCGCCACAGACATTTTATTGGCTGGGGAGAGTGAAGAGTAAAATAAGGTCAGGAGGAGGAAGAAAAGGCAGTTTTTGTCCCATTTATAAACCCTGTATGCCATACTTCACCCTGATCCTCTCTCTCGGGCAGCTTTGCCCCTCTGCAAATACTGGGTGTGGGAGAAGCAGAAGGAAGGTTCTGCAGTGCAAAGTTGACATGGTGAGATCAATTTTTGAGAGATGATATTTAACTGGCCAAAAAACAAAAACAAAAACAAAAAACAAACAAACAAAAAAACCAGTGTTTTCTCCTATCTCTCTTAAGCTACCTTGATCAGGGTCTTCGCAAAGATACAGGCACCTGGATACTCACAGGCCCTGATGAGGAAATCGGAGATGGAAACCATTATGCAGAATGCACCAAGCATTTGGTTCTGGCCATTTCAAACCTTTCTGTAGGCTGAGCCTTACCAGTGATTTAAGATGAAGTACAATGCTTTTTATTACACACCTAATTGTTAATGAGAGGAAATGCAATCAGCAACTCCTTTCCACACTCTACATGGAATCAAGGACACTGCTGAGTCCAGAAAAGATGCAGCCATTGATGGAGCCCAAGAAACTTCTCCCCGCCCCCTGCCCCCCATCCTCCTTTTGGGTGTGGGGAAGGAGGAGAGAGAAGAGTTGCAAATATGATGAGAATATCATGTCCGAGAATCCACTGCTGCCACAGGGTCACTTGCAGCAAAGGTCTGGGGCTGAAATCTTCACTGAACAGCATTTAACTCTTCCAAGTGTTGCATTTTCTGGCTGATCTGGCTCATGCTAGAGGAGGACACTCTCTTCATACACTTTCTTCTCAGGTGGAGCAGACAGAGAAGAAAGGTTGAAGGGGAGTAGGCAAGTAGATGGGAAGAGGAACAGAAACAAAGAGAAGGCAGGCAGGAGGCCCAAATCTTCCAGTGTATACATTCTTGTGTTTTCTTTTTCTTGCCCCAGAGGCTAACAAAGCGAGCTCTGTCTCCTCCTAAGCACATTGGGGCTGGGCTGCTCTGGCCAGGTGCTTGGCATTCCTGCAGTTAACAGGGAGACACTGGGTACTGTCTGGCTTGAAGCTGCATCCCCCATCCCCTAGAACTGGGTCTCTCCCAGCAGGCTATACAGGAAAACTAGTTCTTCTGCTTAATGGCAAAGCAAGAGAGATTCTGGCAAAACACTAAATATATTTATAAGTCATCTTTGTCTGGAACCAATGGGAAAAAACTAGGTGCAGAGGGGAAAGGAGGAGAGGAGGGGAGGTTTAAAAGTTCCAATCATTCACAAAAGATAGAAGATATCTTCTGATAGCAGCACTGAAGCAGTCAGCTGTGCTGAGTAGACTGTCCTGGGCCGACTGCAAACCAACTGTCCCAACAGGAGTCTCAAAGCCCTGCTCCTCGGCTAGTCCGGGGAAACTGGGCAGTAGTTTGATTGTTACTGTTGTTGCTCGTCCTGGTATTGGCAGATACGTTAAATACCGCAACTTTAATGGGTCCTGTGTGAAAACAGAGCAAACAGTCATTAGCCCCTTTTTCGATATTTCTTACTTGCTTGAAGAAAAAAGAGCATTCACTTAGCTGCCAATGGGGAAAAGGCTTAGGAGTCCTTCCTAATGCCTGCTCTCTGTCTATGCCATGCAGAAGCTTCTGTCAAAGGTGACCTGGGCTGATGGGGAAGTTACACTAAAGGCAGGGCTTGCTGACATGCTCAGGGCTGTGGTGTTCAAGCAGAGTGACTCTGATGTCTTTAGGCTGAGAGTGACCACGGTTGGCATAGCTTTCACCTGCCCTGTAGAATGGCAGGGCAGGGGTCGGGGATGGTCTGTGGGCCCTGCCTTTGAGTGGCCATGAGCATGGTGGTGCCACTAACAGAAGTGGGGGAATCAAGGAAAGCTGGCCCGGCTGTGTGGCTGGAGGGTACCAGCAGTGTAAAGGAGGGGACAGTGTAGTTGAGGATGTGAGCACTAGAAGTGCTCTTGCTGTCTTCAAGGACAGCTGTGTGGATGGCAGCTGGAAATGTGGTCTGGAGATTAAAGCAGAGGCTTGGACTGGAGACAGAAATTTGAGTCTTCTACATTGAGATGAGATCTGAAGCTTTGGGAAGAGAGAAGGCAGCCTAAGAAGGAACTCAGATAAGGAAGAAAGAGAGGCCGGGCATGGTGGCTCACACCTGTAATCCCAATACTTTGGGAGGCCAAGGGAGGTGGATCACTTGAGCTCAGGAGTTCGAGACCAGCCTGGGCAACATGGTGAAACCCCATTTCTAAAAAAAAAAATACAAACAATTAGCTGGGTGTGGTGTTGTGTGCCTGTTGTACTCAGGAGGCTGAGGCAGGAGAATCACTTGAGCCTGGGAGGTGGAGGTTGCAGTGAGCTGACATTGTGCCACTGCACTCCAGCTTGGGCGACAGGAGCGAAGCCCTGTCTCAAGAAATAAAATAGGCCGGGCGCGGTGGCTTGGCCTTGAGAGGCCGAGGCAGGTGAATCATGAGGTCAGGAGATCGAGACCATCCTGGCTAATATGGTGGAACCCTGTCTCTACTAAAAATACAAAAAGTTAGCCTGGCACGGTGGCGGGCACCTGTAGTCCCAGCTACTCAGGAGGCTGAGGCAGGAGAATGGTGTGAACCCAGGTGGCAGAGCTTGCAGTGAGCCGAGATCGCGCCACTGCACTCCAGCCTGGGCGAAAGAGCGAGACTACGTCTCAAAAAAAAGAAATAAGATAAAATAAAAATAATAAGAAAAGCCAGAAACAGACTCTTAGGAGTGAGGGGGAAAGAGGCACAAATAATCAGAGAGCCAGGAAGAATATTAAAAATAGCAAAGTGTCACAGAAGTCTAAGGAAGATAAAATTTTGGGCAAAAGGAGGGGGTAGGTATAGGGAGATTGCAGTATTAATACTAATGACCAGTTTTTCCTGAGGGCATGCTATGTATTCGGCACTGTGCTAAGCACTAGGAATTTTCCATACAGTATCTCCATGCAGCCTTCACAGGGCTCCATGAGGTGAGCAGTGCCCCTCATGTTACTCATCAGGAGATTCAGGCTCTGGGAAGTTACTTGTCCAAGGGCACATAGCCTGTGCGACTTGGCTGAGGAACGATGAACCGTGTCCTCTGTGAGAGAAAGAGGCGCTGAGGCAAGCCCAGTTGGGCGTGAATCACTGCCCTCAGTGGAACACTGCAAAGAGAGATGCAGAAACGTGTAGCGAACATGTACTTCCGCCAGGAGAACTGAGGCAACGCTCCTCAGCAGCTAGGGCAGCCTTCTCAAACTGGCAACAACCTAGTGTATTCAAACTGGTCAGAACACCAGGTATGATCTGAATATACCATAATATGTATGGACCACCTGGGTATTTTAGGATCTTCCCCTGCCTGAGAGAGAGTTTGGAGACTTGAGTGGGAGGACACATGGAGTTCTCACCAACGTCAGAGGTCAAAAGACAGGTCCTCTTTTTGGAGGGTTGAGGAATGGGGACAGGGATATAAAAGCTACTTTTTATATTCCTTTTAAAATCTCCCCTTTTATTTCTATGTCAGTGTGAACTTTCACCAAGAGATGTTTCCATTCACACATTAGACATCAGAGTGTCTACTTGGCTTGAAACGTCTCTATTGTAGGTATTGTGTGATCTGGGAACTTAAACATCACAGGCCTTTGGGTCATTACTTAGTTTTCAAACTGATTCAAATCTCATTTTATTTTCATAACAGTACTACTAGATAACTAGGGCAGGAATGACTAGGCTTACCACACACATAGGACCCTAGAATCACCTAGAACTGAGGCTGGCTACCTTGGTGAAAGGCACTGTCCATACTGTGGCAGCTTCAGCCCTGTCTCACATCGTCTGCTTCCTCGGCTTTACAGGACTTGGTGACACAAATGGCAGGAGAAAGCTCCATGAACTAGCAATACCTTACAGCTAATACCCTGTCTCCTACCCACAGTGTTATGTACATAATAGATTTTGATACCTGGGCAAGTTTGAGGTCAGTATATGGTTATTTATCTGGAGATGTAGGTGTATGTTCGAGAAGGGGAACGGGGGGGTTCAGCTTGGGCAGCTGGATCATTTAGGAAGTCCCAGATGAGGATTGTGTCATCATGTGAACTACTGACAATCTGGAATTCATCAAACTGGAGTCGAAAAACTCTTCCGGAATGCTCCTAAAGAAGTAGAAACAAAAAGGGTAGGAACTTGAACTACTCAAAATCAATAGGACACAAATTCAGCAAGATGTCAAAAGGAGTCTACAGAAAGGCTATGGTTTGCTGTTAATTTTCTACCATGAAGTTGTTTTTTTAAAAAAAGAGAGAGGCCGGGTGCAGTGGCTCATGGCTGTAATCCCAGCACTTTGGGAGCCCGAGGCGGGCGGATCACGAGGTCAGGAGATCTAGACCATCCTGGCTAACACGGTGAAACCCCATCTCTACTAAAAATACAAAAAATTAGCTGGGCATGGTGGCACGTGCCTGTAGTCCCAGTTACTTGGGAAGCTGAGGCAGAAGAATTGCTTGAACCTGGGAGGCAGAGGTTGCAGTGAGCTGAGATCATGCCACTGCACTCCAGCCTAGGTAACAGAGTGAGGCTCTGTCTAAATAAATACATAAATAAATAAATTTTAAAAAAAGAAAATTTACTTGGGCTAAAGGCAGCATGGAAAAGTCAAATACTAGGCAGCTATAAACAAAGTTAATACTCTTTGGCCAAGACATGCTAAATAGCATGCTATTAATAGTTTCTCATGCCAACCCTTTTTGGCTTAGGGTGGATGACAGCATTCCTTACTACCTCCCTGGTTTTATCTTCTAAGTTCCTTCCATAATCAGAGGTCAAGGATTGGTGAGCAATAAGCAGTATGCTGATAAATGTTTATCAACCAACTTTGCTACTTTGTAAAACCACTGGTAGATTTCCACGGCATTAAAAACTCCTACCATGGCCAATTATAAGCTAGTAATAGTCAACCAGCTTGCAAAATTCATGAATAGTTGGCTCTCATAAGTGAGCATGAGCCTGTTCTAGCACACCACTGGCAGTTACCACTACCCTGATGAAGATGTAGAATGTTCCCAGCATACTGGAAAACAATCTCACACCCCTTACTAAACAATGTTATCTCCACTCCAATTTTATCATCATCATCACCTTTTTTTTTTTTTTGAGACTGAGTCTTGCTCTGTTGCCCAGGCTGGAGTGCAGTGGCGTGATCTCCGCTCACCGCAAGCTCTGCCTCCTGGGTTCATGCCATTCTCCTGCCTCAGACGTAGCTGGGACTACAGGCGCCCGCCACAACGCCTGGCTAATTTTTTGTATTTTTAGTGGAGATGGGGTTTCATTGTGTTAGGATGGTCTCAATCTCCTGACCTCGTGATCCGCCCACCTTGGCCTCCCAAAGTGCTGGGATTACAGGTGTCATCATGATCGTCATTTTTAGATGCAGGGTCTCGCTTTATTGCCCAGGTAAGAATGCAGTAGTGTGATCATAGTTCACCGTAACCTCAAACTCCTGGGCTCAAGTGATCTTCCTGCTTCAGCCTCCCAAGTAGTGAGGACTACAGGCACATGCCACCATGCCCAGCTTTTCTTTTCTTTCTTTCTTTTTTTTTTGTAGCAACCAGGTGTTTTTGTTGCCCAGGCTGGTCTTGAACTCATGGACTCAAGCAGTCCTTCTGCCTTGGCCTCCCAAAGCTCTGAGATTATACGTGTGGGCCACTTTGCCTGGCCCAATGTTGTTATTGTTATTAATTTGTTTACTCTCTTATTGAATTTCATATAGTCATATAGTATGTATTCTTTTATGCCTGCCTTTTTTTTTGAAACAGAGTCTTGCTCTGTGGCAAGGCTGGAGTGCAGTGGTGCGATCTCGGCTCACTGCAACTTCTGCCTCCCAGGTTCAAGCGTTTCTCCTGCCTCAGCCTCCCGAGTAGCTGGGACTACAGGCGCCCCCCGCCATGCTTGGCTAATTTTTTGTATTTTAGTAAAGACGGGATTTCACCATGCTGCCCAGGCTGGTCTCCAACTGCTGAACTCAGGCAATCCGCCGGCCTCAGCCTCCCAAAGTGCTGGGATTACAGGCATGAGCCACCGAGCACAGCTCATGCCTGGCTTCTTTCAGTCAACATTATAAGATTCTTCTATGTTGCTGAATGTAAAATGGTAGTTTATTCTTTTTTATTACTGGTTGATATTCTACTGTATGAATATACAATCCATCTATTCTCTTGTTGGTGGACATAGGGGCTGATTATAGTTTATGACTATTATACAACAAAGCTGCTATGAACATTTATGTATGTGTCTTTTGCTGAATATATGCACTCATTTCAACTAGGAGTAGACTTGCTGGGCCATGGGGTAGGTGTATGTTTGGCTTTAGAAGATACTATGAAACAATTTTTTAAAAGTCATGCCAATTTATACTCACACCAACAGTTTATCAGAGTTCATTACTCCACATCTTCACCAAAAATTGATATTGCCAATCTTTTACACTTATTTTGGTAGGTTTGTAGTAGTATTTTATTATAATTTTAATTTGCATTTTTCTTTATGATGTTGAGGAAAAGCCTCTCTATCCCTTGTTTGTTGAGAGTTTTTATCATGAATGGGTGTTGGATTTTGTCAAATGCTTTTACTGCATCTATTGATATAAACATGTGATTTGTCTTCTATAGTCCCCTGATGTGATGGATTACATTAATTGATTTCTGAATGCTGAACCAGCCTTGCATACCTGGCATGAATCTCACTTGGTCACAGGGTATAATTCTTTTCATACATCGTTGGATTTAATTTGCTAATATTTTGTTGAGGATTTTTTAAATTTAAGAGTTACTACATTTTATTGGCACATTATTACATTTTATAATATTTTAGAGGCCGGTGCGGTGACTGATGCCTGTAATCCCAGCACTTTGGGAGGCCGAGATGGGCGGATCACAAGGTCAGGAGATCGAGACCATCCTGGCTAACACAGCAAAATCCCGTTTCTACTGAAAATACAAAAAATTAGCCGGGCATGGTGGTGGGCGCCTGTAGTCCCAGCTACTCGGGAGGCTGAGGCAGGAGAATGGCGTGAACCCAGGAGACGGAGCTTGCAGTGAGCTGAGATCGAGCCACTGCACTCCAGTCTGGGGGACACAGCAAGACTCTGTCCCCCCCCCAAAAAAAAATTTTAGAAATCATGAAATTGCTAAACATAACGGCAATAATAAGACCATACATGGCCGGGTGCAGTGGCTCACGCCTGTAATCCCAGATCTTTGGGAGGCCAAGGCAGGCAGATCATGAGGTTAGGAGTTCGAGACCAGCCTGGCCAACATGGAGAAACCCAGTATCTACTAAAAATACAAAATTCAGCCAAGTGTGGTGGCGGGCACCTGTAATCCTAGCTACTCGGGAGGCTAAGGCAGGAGAATAGCTTGCATCCAGGAGGCGGAGGTTGCAGTGAGCCGAGATTGTGTCACTGCACTCCAGCCTGGGCAACAAGAGTGAAACTCTGTCTCAAAAAAAAGAAAAAGAAAAAGAAAAAGAAAAAGAAAAAGAAAAACCATACATACGTCTGAATCAAATATTTATTTATTTATTTTGAGACAGAGTTTCGTTCTTGTTGCCCAGGCTAGAAGTGATGCGATCTTGGCTCACTGCAACCTTCGCCTCCTGGGTTCAAGCACGAATCAAATAGTTTAAAATACAGATGCTCCTCAAATTACAATAGGTTACATCCTGATGAACCTGTTGTAAATGAAACTATCCTAAGCTGAAAATGCATTTGATCTGCCTAACCTATTGCACTTCATAGCTTAGCCATTATTAGTCTGTATTTTTCTTTTCCTATATTGTATTTGTCTGGTTTTGGTTTTAGGGTAATGCTTCATAGGATGAGTTAGCAAGTTATTCATTCTGTTTTTATCTTGTAGAAAAAAATGATAGAAAATTGATACAACTTATTCAAATGTTTGGTAGAATTCACCAGTGAATCTACCTGGGCTTAGTTTCTCTGTTTGGAAAGATTATTAAGTATTGATTCTGTGAAGATCTGGGATCGCTTTCTAATATTAGTAAAGTATGTCTTCTTTGTTTTTCGTAGTCTGGCTAGAGGCTCATCCATTTTATTGATCCTTTCAAAGAACTAGCTTTTGGTCTTGATGTACTCCATTGATTTCCTGTTTTCAATTTCATTGATTTCTGGTCTAGTTTTTATTATTTCTTTTCCTCTACTTACTTTGAATTTAATTTGCTCTTCTCTTAGTTAGCTCTACTAGAAGCTTAGACTATTGATTTTAGATATTTTATAAGATATGCATTCATTGCTATAAATTTCCCTCTAAGCACTGCTTTCACTGCATCCCACACATTTTGATAGCTGTTTTCATTTTTGTTTACTTCAAAATACTTTTCAAAACATCACATGTTCCCCATAAATATATAAACCTACTATGTACCCACAAAAATTAAAAGTAAAAATTTAAAAAAAAATACATTTCAATTTCTCTTGTGATTTCTTCTTGACCTACGTGTTATTTAGAAGTGTATTGTTTAATCTCCACATATTTTGGGATTTTCCAGCTATCTTTCCATTACTGAATGCCACTGTAATCTGGCAGCATATGCAGTATGATTTCTATTCTTGTAAAATTTTTAAGGTGCATTCTATGGCCCTGACTGTGGTCTGCCTTGGTGTAATTTCCTTGGGAGCTTGAGAAGAATGTGTATTCTGCTGCTGTTGGATGAAGCATTCTACAGACGTCAATTATATACACTTGATTGATGGTACTGCTAAATTCAACTATGTTCTTACTGAATTGGCTGCCTGCCAGATCTGTCCATTACTGATGGGGGTGTTGAAGTCTCCAACTATAATAGTGGATGCATCTATTCTTTCCTTGCAGTTCTATGGTTTTTTGCCTCATGTTTTGATGCTCTGTTATTAGGTGTGTACATGTTAAGGATTGTTAGGTCTTCTTGAAGAACTGGCCCCTTTATCATTATACAACACTTCTCTTTATCCCTGATAATATTCCTTGCTCTGAGGTTTGCTCTCTCTGTAATTAATACAGCTACCCCAACTTTCTTCTGACTAGTGTTAGAATGGTCCATCAGGGCTAGGGGTGCCATAACAAAGTATGGCATACACTAGGTGGCTCAAAAAATAGAAATTAAT